AGCCATTCCAGCTGCAGATGCTGGCGTATTCGATCCCCACCTTGCCTGAGGCTTTCAACATTGCTCGGGCCATCCATCTCACTTATGCACCACTAGTTGGTCCCGCGTCTCAGCCCGCCGTTGCCCACTCTGCCACTATTGCAGCCTCTCGCCCCTCCCAGCCTCGACAGTCCTCTACATTTCGTCGTGGCCCCCGTAGAGGCTCTGGACGATCTCTCTCTCGTCGCTTGCATGCGCTGCTTCGTGACCCATCGAGCATTGATGACGACACTGCCTCAGGTGATTCTGCGAGTGACCCAGATCAGGGATCCGACCCTCAGTCCCCCACGGAGGATAACGCCTCTTCCCATGACGACCGTCTTGTCCGGGCCCTTTCCGCCCTCTTTCGACGTCAGCCTTTATCCTCCAGAACTCGCTCTACGGCCACTCAACTACCCCTCCCAGCGGGCTTTGTCTTCCCTCGCAGCCGCGTGACTATTGCTGAGAGTGAGGACCTTCGCACACGAGGCATCTGCACCCGCTGCCGCCTCGCCGGGCATACCTTCTCTACCTGCCCGTACGCAGACGCCCTCCAGAGTCACTTTGCACAGCAGGCTCGCCCTCAGGCTGTTACCCCCATCTCGACCTCCAGCTCCGCAGCCACCTAGCGGCGATCTCCCACCCCGCTGACCCTCCCACAGTAGCAGGCATACCCGCCCGCGACTCTACCTTCGCGCCGCTTGCTACTCTTTCTGAGGACTCGGACCTGACTTCATCGTTGGTCACCCCTAGCGTCATTGACCCACTCTCTAGTGCCTCCACTTCTTCGCCTAGCGTCCCTCATGATCCTCCTCCTCCTCGTCCTCCTACTAGGCGTGCTCTTCGCACGGCGCGCTGCAGTGCTTCCCTCATTGCAACCGAGGATATCATTGACTTCCTGGACCTTGAGTGTGTTAAGGTCCACCAGGAACGTCTCCGCCTTAAAGAGCGCACCCTGTCCGCAATGTCTCAGCGCCTACACAACCCCGACCGCAGCTTACCGATTATTCCAGTGCGCCTCGGGACCTCTACTAGAGTGTATCGCGCACTATGGGACTCTGGCTGTACTGGCGACTTCATTTATCCTCGCGTAGTTAAGGAGGCATCTCTCTATACATCCGCCTACCCTTCCACTGTCACTGTCACGCTTGGCGACAATTAGGCCAAATCATTCGTCGATTCAGTGGTGCCTGATCTTCCATTCTCCTTCCCCTTGCGGATGGCCCACAGCCTTCGCAAGGCCCCTCGGTTCCATGACCAATGGACCTTCGATGTCATGGAAACCCTATATGATCTTGTTCTCGGCACTGCCTACTCCCATCAGTTCGCCCATGCTGGCCCCGATTGGACCCACGACGACCTCGTCCTCGACACCAAGGATGGGAAGCAATACCGTATTCCGTTGTTGGGCAAATCGGACTCTACATCTCCCTCTCCTGTCAATGTTGCCATCTTGACACCCACTCAGTTCCACCACATTGGTCCTCTTCGTCCCCCTACCCCACGAGGCCATGACACCATCTTCGTTGTTGTCTGCCGGTTGACTAAGCATGTTCACTTCCTCCCATGCAAGTATGCTAGTTCAACCAAAGACATCGCCTCCCTTTACTTCAACCGTATTGCCATCCATCACGGTCTTCCCACCAGCATCRTCTCTGATCGYGATCCCCGCTTTACTTCTCATTTCTGGCGTGGACTCCATGAGATCTATGGCTCCGAGCTCCGCCTCTCCTCCTCCTATCACCCCCAGTCAGATGGACAGACCGAGGTCACCAACAAAACTCTTGGGAGTATCCTCAAGAAGTTTGTTGAGAACGACTCTGATTGGGATCTACATCTTGCTCACGCAGAGATTGCTTATAACCATGCTATTTCTCCTGCCACTGACATGTCTCCCTACTACTGTGACTTGGGATACCATCCCCGAGTCCCATCTGACCTTCTTCGTCCATCTCAGATCCATCCCGACACCAAATGCCCTGCCCTCGATGACTGGGTAAAGGAGATGGATGCGCTCATTAGCAAGGCTCGCGAGAGCATTGCTAACTCCCAAACTCGCATGGCCACTCGCGCTAACCGCTCTCGCATCGACCATCCCTTCAAAGTTGGCGACGAGGTTCTTGTCGACGCACGTCACTTCCAGCCCGAAGCTGACACACTTCGGAAATTCAGACGTCGATACATTCGTCCGTGCACCATTCTTGCACCTGCCGGACCCAATCATGACTGTCCGTGAAGCTCCCCGATTCCATGTGCCGCGCTAACTTACATGATGTGTTCCATGTATCTCTTTTGCGCCCCTTCAGACGGTCTCCCCCAGAGTTCCATGGTCGACCGTACCCTCGCCCCTCTCCCATCATCATTGAGGGTCACAAGGAGTTTGTCGTCTCTGATATTGCGTCCCGGCGTATGACTCATGGTGACCCTCCCCGCCTCGAGTATCTCATTCGATGGAAGGGTTATCCTGACGAGGAGTCTACTTGGGAGCCTCTTGAGCACCTGAAGCATGCTATGACTTTCGTGCGTGCTTACGATCGTGCTCATCCTTTCCCTTCATCATCCTCCTCTCCTACTTCTCGCCCTTCTGCTACTGACCCCTCTATCTCTGCGACCACTAACATTCCCCCACCTCCATCGATGGGTCCTCCTGCTCCACCGGTACCCGCCTCAGGTCCTCCTTCCCCTGTGGCTGTGGTTCTGCCTGTTGTTGCAGTTCATTCCTCTCGCCCTCAGCGTACCCATCGACTTCCTTCTCGTTTTCGTGACTGATCTATATCCCCCATACGCTCTTTATTTTTTACCATTCCTGGACACTTATGCAGCAACTCCCGGTTTCAGCTTCTGCATTCGGCTTCTACATTCGACTTTCGACCTAAGTGCTTCTCCTCAGTACCAGAGTACCTGTCGCATTGTTTCGGACTTCTACTCGGTTCTTGTGGTACTCATACTTCATCCTGGCTACTTCGGCTCGACTTCAGTCTAGAGACCCATCAGTTGGACTACTTCACTTGTTTGGCTACAGAGTCCCCATCATTCCCACCTATCCACCACCCTCGAGCTTACCCTTCAGTCGCATGATGACCCCTATTTTCCCTGTCTATGTGGGTGTRTCCGCTTGCCGCCCTTCTGCCTTACCTTATGCTGCACGCCCTCCTCTGGAGTGTACGTTTTCCTTGCTCGTGGCTTCTGGCCACATGTCTATGCCGGCATAGCCCTCTCTCCTTCCAGGCTCACCTTATGTGTGCTCCCTTGTGTGAGTGTCTTTCCCCCCTTTCAGTTGGCGGTACCCGTTTGATGGTTTCCATTGAGCCCGGTGTCGTGCTGTTACTCTCCCTCTGAGCCTGATGACCCTTACCTGGTTGTGTGGGTGCCCCTTGGAGTTTACTCTGAGAGCTGTACCTGCCGCCTTCCCACCCATTCCTACCCCTGCCATGCGACTGAGTTCCCTTCTCCTTTGTTCAGGTATTGTGCATTGTGTACAGGGCACGTGAAACTGTGCCACATTGGTTTTCGACTTAGAACATTGGTTTAGTTATTCTTTGGCCTTTAGGGCCCTGGGGTTGATTTATATCCAGCCTATTTGGCTCATGAGACATTTTTTTCTTTCTTGGTCGACACAGGTCTGACATTTTTCTCTTTCTTGGCCGACACAGGTTAGACATTTTTCTCTTTCTGGGTCGACACAGACCAGACATTGTTGTTTAGATTAGGCTTGAGGCTTAGTCTGCATTGCATCCCTTTTCCTGCATGGAGCTTGCTCCGCTTCTAGGATTGTTCTTTTGCCGTTCCTTTTGGGTTTCCGCTATTTCAGCGGATAGCGTGTTTGATGTATCGCTTGATCCATTCACAGGTCCGAGGATCGTGGAGCGGTACCCCTACGGCCCAGCAGTGAGGCCGGACCAGTTTCAGGCCGTCGGCCTGACCCTGGTCCGGTACCAGGTTGTCCCGTTCCTGGACCTAGGCCGGTATATCACTTCGGCCTAGGCCCAGGGCGGAAGGTTGATTCATTCTGATGTTCGTTCATTGGTTGGCCGGACTGGACCTTCATTCAGTTGCTGCTTCTTGTGTGTGTCCATCTCCTCTCTCTCTCTCTCTCTCTCTCTCTCTCTCTCTCTCTCTCTCTCTCTCTCTCTCACCATCTCCGCACGTGCCCGCCGCACGTGCGTCACACTGTAACCCTCCCAATCTCGCGCCCTGTCTCGGATCTCCTAGGCTAGTGGCCTCTCCGCCCTCCTTGTCCATAATGGTAGCGTTTGCATCCATTCATCCCTTCGTATTCCCTGCTCATGCATGAATCTCTCAAACGCAGGGATGAACTCCTCAGCATTCCCTACCTCCAGGCGGATCGGTACACCATCTGTCCCCACTGGCGAAGGCCTCAGCCCCTGCATCCTCACCTCCACCTCCTGCCAAGTCTGAACCTCCCGACGGATCCGTGCAATGGGCTCCTCAAATCACGCCACTCCTCTCAATCTCCGCATCATCTCTGATACGGTCCACCTCCTCTGACTCGCATGACTCCGAAAGTCATCCAGAAAGAGCTCTATGTCCCCACCATAGTATACATGTGTGTGCTCTCTCTGGGAAAATTTATGCCGCTCATATCCCCCTGATGCCCCTAATGGTCTCCGTGGTGGTCGTGCCTCCCTCCCTCCTCTCGGCATGGCTGTCTTCGAAAAGTCAGACCTGCATAACAGGCGAAGGAGACAACAGACATACAATGGGGTAAGCGAACAGGTGATACGTAGCAAGCCCCGATCACTCCCAGACATGTACACCCTGTCCATACATTCTAATATCTCATTATTTCTAGGACTTGTCTAAAAATACTTATTATCTACGTAGGGTCATATTTATGGGGTTAGGTCATTTTTCTCACCTCTTCTCTTGCCACAAACTTCTTAAGCCTCATTCCTGATACCCAATCTTTCCATTCTGTCCCATCCAACTCTTCAACTTGGTAGGCGTTAAAATCCCCACATCGTACGATCCGATATGCCCCAGCTATCTCTTGTCGAATTTTCTTAATCACTATTTCTCTAAGGATGAGTCGTATAATAATACGACATCCCTTACCGCCAAAGGTATCTTATGTATGCGTCTGATCCCATCGAGCCTTATTTTCTATGCGGTTTGAAGACCCTCACTGTCCCCCTTGGTGCGTTTATACTGCCATAATTTTAACCTCAGTCTCCCACATATTCAAAAATAGTGATATCGACGAAAGATTATTCCATATGACTCCAAGTGGGGATACTGGATTTGTACTACAGTTACATAGGTCACCAAGGAACATAATGATAGCCGCTCCCCCCAACTTTAAACTTTATTTGCCAGGATCTTGTTGGGTGTCCTAAGAGTTAGGAATCAAAATTGAATCCTACTCTTTGGACGTGGGTCTTGACCTAAGTCAAATTTTACCATCCCATCCGAAGTCTAATGCGAGGGGATCGACAACCTCGGTCTCAACCCACCACAGTCGGTTGATCAAGTCGGATCTGCGGCCCACCGTTTTGCTATTCTAACGATGGTACCCGTATTGGTTATGCAATACAATGATAAAATCCTCCTATCAAAATATCTAGACCTGACTCTTGATCTCTCCGATATTTACCTGAACCAATCCCGTCATCAAGGAGACTCCCCTCAAGTCTCAGCTCCAGACTGTGATCGGAAGGTCCGCTGCCTGGTTATCCTTGGTCAGCAACCCACGCTGGGAGTTACGTCCCAATGAAGTCAATTTTTCACCATAGGCTTGGTAATTTTAAGCCTCTCAAACTGACCTCCTAGAGTGGATGAACGATGATCATAAAAATATACATATAAAAAACAATTTGACCAAATAATTTTCCTCCCCTCGTCAATTGTTTTTTAATGGGTGAATAACCTCATTGAATGTATACATGAAAGAAAAACATTTTCACTAGTAAAAATGATTTAACACGATTGTCATATTTTGATCGAGGGGCACCGTCAGAGCCACTTAGGGGTTGTGTCTACCGGACCTTGATCAAAGGCTGGACAGACACACGTCTCGAGGAACATTTATTTCAATCATAACATACATTTCCCTGACTCGCAGGGTTTTTCATACGTATAATTGTTTTTTTGACTTTTTCAGGGTTTTTCAAGTTTTTAGGGTCTTTTTCAAAAATATATAGGACAAAGCATGGAAAGACTGACAACAAAGCAAAGCATTTTCAGACTGTAAACGTCACATTTCACCCTATCATTCTTGAACACTTAGGCGTTTTTCTGAGCATCCTAGTTCAAGACTTGATAGCATAGTTGACATACACGTCCAAGATACATATTTCATCAATCAAAACCAGACACTGGACCACCTCAATTGTGAAAGTGAAAGTGCTCATGTTCGCCATAGGTATACCTCATAGATGAATTTAAGACAAAGAAAACTCAGATGAACACAAAGTTAAGACTAAGACAACTCATCACTCAAACTGAAACATGGAATCCCATGACAAAAATGAGTCACAGGTCTCACATATCCTCCACCACTAAGGTACAAAAATGTCGATTCAGAAAAATATAAGAGATACAACGAAAATCTCATAAGCCTAACAATAAAAAATAACGGAGCACACACTCCATGACGTACTCCAAACATCCTACCCAATGCTTCATCTTAAGAAGAAAAAATAACATACTCACTACAGTCCTCCTTCTATATTTAATTACTAATATACAGTGTCTCACTTGGAGAAAAGAAAAACGTAAGAATCCTATCTCAGAGGCTCAAGAGAGATCACAAGGTATCATCCTATGAATGAATTACCTTAATCTTTTAAGGTGAGCCCCAACTGTTCATATAATTGCACTATGAACCCTTCCTTGACCGTCTTAATCAAGTTGTCTCTTCTATCAATGAGTCTGTTGTTCTCATCCAGATCAACTAGCCTTTTTTTCCTATCTATCTTAAATCCAGGACAGTCATCCCTCCTATGAACTCCTTTCATATAATGCCAACACAATTTTCTCTCCTCCTCCTTTGTTCTCTTGCCAAGAGGCAGAAGAGGTGGAGATATCATCTCACTTTCACTCTTTCCTTCTCCCACCATCTCATAACAAGGTCTTTTTTTATTATCCCTCGACTCACATTTATTTTTAAGTCTCTTAGGTGACAACGGTTCGATATAGTCCTTGACACGGGTTGAGGTGATGACCGTGGCCTGATCGTCGCCTTCCCTTGCTTACCCCAACACTCCTTCTGTAATCCCACCCGAACTCTGCCCAGATGTCAAAAGTATCCCTGTAACATTCTTGTTCTGCAAACCCTTGTCCGCCTTTCTTTTCAATAATCTTGGTGAGCGTCTCTGCTCCCCCTGCCTGACTAACCATCTTGAATCCGTCCACCTTCTTTTCCATTTTCGTCCATCTTTCCTCCCATTTCTTACTTTTCTTCTTCCTACCCTCCTTTTCAACCCCCATTTCCTTTTCCTGCTCACCGATCTTCCCTTCCAATTTGCCAACCCATTTTTTCAACTTTTCTCTCACCATTTTCTCTCTCTGTACTTCCTTACATTTGTTGTTAAAAGCAGTGTTTAATGCTCCCACCTTTAGCTCTAACTTCTCCTGTTCAACTTTTGCCTTTCCCAATTCAGTTTTCAAACTTGTCATCCCCTTCTCCATTTTTTCCATTTATACATCTCTGTTTCCTTCTCTCTTCCTCAGTCTCTGAATTTCTTTCAGAATTTCAGGGACATGACTTGCCGCCCCCTGTGTGAGCAACTCCGTCTTTTTCCTTACCCTGTTTTGGAGTTCTTGCATAAGGATCTCCAATCCTCTTTCCCTTCCTTCCTTTTTTCTCTCTTCTTCCGCCTTTTCCAACTTGTCCACCACATTTGCCCCTTCTTCGAGGAACCACTCACAATCCTCCCTGAGCATTTCATGCAGCCGGATCAGTCTGTTTACATCTGAAGCCAGCTTGGAACTGACCACTATTTCTGATGGTAGTATTTTTTAAAGCTTCATGCCCTAGGGGGCGTCTGTAGGCAATTCATTTTGTTTTAGTAATTCGACCGCCTGATTTCTCCATTCCCTGTTGTGCTCCCCCATTTTCTCTCTTTCTTCCTTAGTCAACCTCCTTGATCCCTGCTCCTTGGGACTCCTTAGGAGGTTTTCCTTACGCAGTCACCTCAATATCTCTGCCTGGCAGCTCTGCCTCACTCGCTTCTTCCTTATCCTCTTCCCTTTCTTTTCTTTCTTTCATCATGACATCTTCCTTTTTTTCGTTAAGGGGCATGCCCTTCTCTTTTATCTTTCTTTCAGTGCATCTCCCTTTCCTCGGGATTTTATCATTCTTTACTGAGCCACTTCCTTCCTGAGTCACTCTCCTTGCTCTGTCATTCTCTTGCTGGGGAGATACATCACCTTCTTTGGCCTTCTGTCGAGTCTTTCTATCCACCTTTTCTCCTCTTCTTCCAATCCACAATCCCTGTTTTTGAAGTAGCTGTCTTTTATTCTGCCTTTGCACAACAAAGGGATAGCCCTTCCTCAACTTAACAAGAAATCCTCCTCAAGTGTCTAATTCCTCCCCGATTTCCCTCATTGTTTCGTACTCCCTTGGGGCCACCTTCTTCATCATATGCTCCAGTTTTTCTTCCTCCTCCCATTGCCTCTTCTCAGCATAGAGGTCGATGCTTTCCTTAAAATCTTCCAAGTTGGTCTCATCGAAGATGATATCATCCTCAATCTCATCTCTCCTCAAATCTTCATATTTTGCCCATATTTCTGCTTTGAACGTCATCCACCCCAAACAATCAGTTGCCATCTCCTCCATCGTCTCTCCACACTCTCTTATCCCTGTCACATTCTTCAACATGGTTTATGTATCCCATTCCCTTCTGAAGGCATGATCCTTAAACTCCCTCAGAAACAACCTCAAATTATCTCTTTTCTTGGACGCCGGTATCCCTTCAGAATTCTTCGATACCTGCTGCATCCTTCTTCGTCCTCTCTTCCAGGGATTGGCCTGGAAGGCCCCGCCACCCCTCCCTTTTGTGACATGGCTACTTGTCCCACAAGATCACGCCTGCACACAGAAAAAGAAAGAGGGTGACAGGTAAAAGGACGAGTTAGCAGCTAGACAACATCAAAATATCCGCAAAAGGAAATGTCATCACAAAGCTTTTCAAGACCATTATATTTTTCCTTGTACTTTTTACCTTTCATCCACTCACCTCTTGCCTTACTTTGAATTTCTTCAGCCTGGATCTCGAAATTCAGTCCCACCTTGGAGTCTCATTCATTTTCTCAAGCTCGTAGGCCCCATGATTTCCCCGGCTCCTGACTCTGTAGGGTCCCAAACATCTCTTGTCCAACTTGCTTGACCATTGCTTCTCCAGTGACGAATCGTATAACAATACTTCATCCCCGATTTCCAGTGGTTCAAGACATACACGAGGAAGCCGGTCCTATCTTTCTTTGTCTTTTCCACGGTTGTCTGTCACTTTTTCGACTGCTTCCTGAATCCTTTCTTCAGTGACATTAACTTGCCTTGCTCTGATGTCAAGCAATTCCTCGAGTGACAGGTTGTTTTCTAGATCCTGTCGACACCAGGTTTTGAGGAAACTTTCTATTGGAAATGTGACATGTCTTCCATACCACAATGTCGCGGGTGCATACCTCGTGAACCTCCTGACCGTGACGTTTTCAACGAAGAATACAGTTCGTAGGAATTTTGGCCAGAGATTCGGCTTCCCAGCTGTCCATTTGGCCAGTAAATTCATAATGGTCTTGTGCCCCCTTTTCCACTGGTGCATTTGCCTGAGGATGAACTCTGGTTGTATAATTGGGGATTACTCCAAGTTCGTCTAACAATTCCGCAAGGCGGGGATACATGAAGGCTGAGTAGTGAAGGCAACAATCGGAATGAGGAAAGCCGACTGGGTGCACGAGGGAAGTGGCGACGGAGCAAGAACACAACAGACAAAAAAAGGACAACACGGAGTGGAAAGCGAGAAGGAGGCGCACACTTCCCCGCATGTAAATTTTGATCCTCTGTCCATTGTGAATTCTACCATGAAGGGATATCGAATATAATATTCCTTGATGCACACGACCAATACTGCCCGTCTTATTCCGGATCACTTTTCCATTAACAAATCCTGTAAGATTATCTCTGACATGAAAGACATAGTTGTATCCCCCTAGTCCCAATGGCATTGTTAGTAGATCCAAGTGGACTACTGCTCCCATATCCTTGATATACCTCGGGTGTAAGGGTTCCTTATACCTCATCAGAGATCTGACTTGGCAAAGTACGCACGACTCACAGTACTTTTGAATCATTCCGTACATATCATTCCAAAAGTACAGCTCGGCTACTTTCTTGATGGTAGTGGCAAAACTTATGTGACCACCTACTGGTCCATCGTGAAGGGCTGCTATGACATGGATCTGCCGACTTCTGCCACATATGAGCCTCCTAGAAGGTCCCCTTTTATCCCTTATGAAGAGATGACCACCCGTTACTACATAGTGGTCTCTCATGCAGAGAGTCTTTTAACTAACTTTCCTTTCTTGCTTGTCGTCAGACAGAAAAAGTCTCATTTCTAGATGAAACCCGTCGTATTCTTCTTCCCGAAAATCTTTCGAGATCTTACTCTGCTAAAACTCCTCTCCTTCTATTTCCTCATCAAACTCGTGATCGTTTCCTAACACTATCTCATATGCTTTTACTGTCTCTCCTTCATTTTCAATCTCAACTTGCAGAAGAGAGTTGACAAGGTAATGTATTCTCCCCATCGTCAATAAATACTGATCCACTTGCCTCGTTCCTGCCTCAATTGTAACTGTATCGTCCATCAACCTATAGTTTCCTGCTAAGGTCAACTCCGTCATCCATTCTTTATTCCTTCATCCCCATGGGTCTTCCTCGACGAAAGATTTCAATACCAACCACAAACGGTTATCGGGTAGTTGAAAATTCAGGAATGAAAATTCTGAAGTGAGAGTTTTTGGCAGTCTGAAAATCCTGAATGGCCCTGAAGCGGTGAAAGGTTCGAAGACCCTGAAAACCACCTGTTTAGGCAGGCTGCATCCTGAAGTGGTGAAGGGTGTCCTAAAGTAGTCAAGTGAGAGTTTTACAAAAGTTGCAGGCGCAAACCACATGAACTTTCCTCTCCTTGCTTCCTTATCATTGACACTTAGCTCCCAAGAGTTTACATGGAGTTGCATATCGTCTTCGTCCAGGAATCCATCCACTGGTGTTGAAAATCAAACATCCAGATGTATGTGAGCCATCTGGCGATTGTAGGATCCGTGAGTAAAAATTTCTTGAGAGAATACATAAGGGCAGTTTGATCTATCCTTAGGATAAATTTCCTCCCGTAGAGGTAGTGTCTAAAGCACGTAGGCAGTGTAGCACTGACAAAGCCTCCTTAAATTGAGAGTAGTTCCGCTCGGTAGCATTGAGGGTTCGACTTTCAAAACGCAAGGGTCTCTCCTTCCCTTCCTGATCAGCTTGTATCAATACTCCCCCTAATGTCGTAGGTCCGGCGTCAGTTTCTATTATGAAGGGACGTTCTATGATAACTTCGTAATCAGGAACTCCCAACACAAGTCCTCCTTCTTTGAAATTCTTCTTCAAGTCCTTTACTACCTTTTCCTGTTTCTCTCCTCACTTTCATGTTTGATTCTTTTTCACAAACTTTCTTACATGCTCCGTCTTAGAGACAAATCTTTCGACGAATATCCTCCAGAACCCGCATGTCCCAGAAAACATCTTACCTCACTTATATTCCTGAAAGGTGTTGGCCACTTAAGAATTTTATTCGTTTTCTTGGTGTCCGGACGTCGGCTTTGTTCGTTGCACACAAATCCCAGAATGGTGGCCTCGTTCATGAAGTGCCTAGATTTTACTCCACTGGTCGTGAGGTTGTGTTCTTGTAATACATCTATCACCTTTCTAAGATCATTGACGTGGTCCCAGACAAATTTCCTTATGCCTGGCGCATTCATCCTTCACCATCGACTTTTTTACCGCCAGATCATTGATATAGGGTTCCGTAATCAGTTGACTGATTGGTTGCATTCCCCTGACCATACTCCTTTGCACCATGGTCACAACATTAGTCTATCCCTGGGGTGCCACGTTCATGTGAATTAATCCTCTAGGAGTGTGCATTGCAGTTATCGGCCTATCCGCTGGATAAACCTGAAATTTGTTGTAAGCAGAGTAGAGATCCATAAGTGAGATAATAGATCTCCCTGCGCATGCCTCAAATAGTTGATCAGTGTTAGGGAGCCCTCCAACATCCCTAACAGTCACTGCATTCAACCTCTGTAAATCTTGCACCCACCTAAGTACCCCATTTGACTTGACAAAATATAACCAAGGTGAAGCATAAGGCCCGCTAGAAAAACATGCCACATGGGAGTCAATCTTTTCATTCAGGTATCCCACCACTCTCCTCTGATCATCGGGGTTTGGGTACCTAGTCCCTCTAATATTCCAAGGTTGGTGCGGAACCGTGTGGATCCGGATCATCCCTACCTTGTCCATATCCAATTTTCCTCTCTGCTCATCGTTAAAAGCACACGCGCAATGCTTGTTGTGTAGTTAATAACTCAAGTTCCCCAATGATCAAACCTTTATGAGTCTCTTCCTTAATACGACAGAGCTTTATTTCTCATTTCTCTTCCATCTGCCTTATCAATTCTCTTTCTTGCTCGTAGTATACTCCTTCTTCATGCGTTACTAAGACCAAAACCGGGTGACTCTTCTTGTTTACTGTCTTATACCTCCTTTTTCCTCCTTGCTTGAGCCCACCCCTAAAAAATGTTGGTCGCTAGCCTGAACATATGGTCCCTGCATTCTTTCTTCTCGAGGGGGCGGTTTATATACCAAATTCATTCTTCCCCCTTCAAGGTAATCATACAACTTGTTAACCAATGTCCGAATTGCTTCTGGTTCTGCCATCTCATAGGTGGAAACCATGTACATTGCTTGATCAATGCTAGTCAGGCTCAATGTTAACCCTTCATTCTCTTCTTCCTCACCCTCCTCGTCTGACGCTCATTCTAGTTTCTTCCTTCTATCTTCCGATTCCTCAAAAGTATATGACCCTGCATTGAAGCGGTTTTTCGAACTGTGGGGACCTATATTTTTACAAGTAATGACTTCGAAGTTTCCACATGTAGGGTCACATAAAATCATGAACATGGTCCCGTCATGCTTGTTCATAATGAGGGTCTCCGATCGTGACAAAAATGAACTTCCCAATAATATAAGAAGATCCAAGCTAGGCATGATGTAGAAGCATGAACGAACCCTGACTCGTCCTACTTCCACGATCACATTTGATTGCAATACCTGTGTACCCCGACTTTCCACTAGCCCCATTGAGATATGCATAATTTCTTTTGTCGATTTCCAACCCTAGTTTTTTAATCGTTTATGACTTCAAAATGTTCATCTCTGCCCCAGTATCCACCATCTCGGAACACCATTTTCCTCTAATGTTGACATCAATGGACCATGTCCCTACAAACTTTCAATTTATCTTGCTTTCAGCGATTGTCCACTTCGCTTTCGTGAGAATTAAATCTCTCAATCTTACCGTCGCTCCCCTCTTCCGTGCCAACTTTGCCTTTACTAATTCTCCGAGTTTTAGTGTCGTTGCAAAAATCTCCTTCAGATTCAACAACTCGTTATGACCCTCAATAAGTTTGTTTACTAAATTTTCCAGATCCACCCCTTCTTCAATCGACGTCTGGTACCTCCACTTCTTCTTTGACTTCTCCCCAGTCTTTTCTTTTTCTTCCTTAATATCCTGCTTACGTTTCTTGACTCTCTGTTC